ATTGTCTTAAAGTGTAAATGAAAAGGGATGCACGTGTGTTTTGATATTGCTTTTAGGAGTTTGCAAAAATATTGGTCTCAAAAAATTGAAGTAAATTTCAAGCGATTGTCTCAAGCAATTATTCTTATCTATGGAATTTTATCTATGTTGGCCTTCCTCAACTCCTTCAACAGAGCCGTAGCACTCATTACAAGGCAGAACATAGTACCCCATATCTCTCACGTTGCTCCCAGCCACCACTACCTCAATTTTTGTACCCAATTTTTGTTCTTTTTAATTAAAGTTTGCTAATTTTGCTGATGCATTAATCTTTTCAGCTACTCACGACGGCACATTTGAGATCGTGTTTGTCAAGGTTGTTTTTTAGTGCAAGAGCAACAGGTCCATTATTGTAAGCTTCCTTTGCTTCATTACCATTAGTGTAGTTCAATATTTAATTCCATTTTGTTGATTTTTTAAAACTACTTTTTTTTTTCAATTATGTTATTAGTTTGCTAGGATTTGTTGTTAATCCTACTTTTTAACACTATGTAGTTGATTGTCTTAATGTTACATCTCTCAATTTTAATCTCTTTATGACTAATGTCATCCATTTATGTAATTTTGATCTCTCTATGATTATTGTAGATTTAAATTTATATTTTCGATCTAAATTCAATTGGATTAGTTGAATAGCAGACCTCCTTATTTGTTGATTCACAATTATATTGTTATAATTACTGTGAAATTGTTTTGGTTTTCTTGATTTGAATTTTTGATGTGAAATTCTTTGGTTTTCTTGAATTTAATTTTTGAAGAGTTTTTTAAGTTGCAAAGTGCCCTNTCTAAATTCAATTGGATTAGTTGAATAGCAGACCTCCTTATTTGTTGATTCACAATTATATTGTTATAATTACTGTGAAATTGTTTGGTTTTCTTGATTTGAATTTTTGATGTGAAATTCCTTGGTTTTCTTGAATTTAATTTTTGAAGAGTTTTTTAAGTTGCAAAGTGCCCTCAGATGTGGGTTATTACTAGGATTTCAATTTTTGGTTTGTTGCATGATGATATTCTTATACATAAATGCATTGGGTTTTGTGTGGTCTAAGATTTTAAGGAAAAAAACCTTATGAAATTTTTGCTGATTTGGTTGGATATGCATAGTTGAATTGTTGAAAAGTTGCTAGAAACTTTACTTGGTTTGACTAGTATTTCACATTTTCTTTTGAATTTTTCTCATAGTTTTTGAATTTTAGGTGCATTTGGATCGCTTTGCAAATTGCGGTTGAGTTTCTAAGTTCTATTTATTTTTTTTCAATTGTACTATTTAGTTACGCANGTTTGACTAGTATTTCACATTTTCTTTTGAATTTTTCTCATAGTTTTTGAATTTTAAGTGCATTTGGATCGCTTTGCAAATTGCGGTTGAGTTTCTAAGTTCTATTTATTTTTTTTCAATTGTACTATTTAGTTCCGAATGAATTATGGTGTTTATGTGGACATGAAGAGAGTTAAGATGGATATGATTTTGTCAAGTGACTGAATTGCTTGGATTCGAAGATGAAGTGTTTATCGACTTCTTATATGGTCTTTTAGACGAGCAGGTAAAATTACCCCCATTTCCATTTCTGTTTTTGGTTCTTAGGAGTCATGTATTCGATAGCATGATCTCTATTTAACAACTGATAAAATTGAGTGACATGAAAAATAGTGAACCTATGACTTTTTTGTCTTATAGATTTTATGTCATCCACCATCCAAAAACCTCTACCATCGCCCAACACCACCCCTTCCTCCTATCCCTATTGCCAAAGCTATTGACCTAAACAATCGTTGTTGTTTTTGTCATAGTATGTCTTTCTTTTTTTATTTCCGCTGTTTAGAATTCTTTTTAGTTTTTTTTCTCCTTTCATTTTTGTATTCATTTGATGCAAGTTTTGGTTAAGATGGATATTAATATTCTTGTTTTTGTTCATTTCTTCTTATTTCAGTTTCAATCGAATGGAATATTTTGCAGCTGATAGGATATAAGAAGTGAAATTTGTTGTGGGTAGCTAAGGTTCTATGCTTTGTTGATATGCTGCCAAACATAGCTATTTAAGATTTTATGCTTCTTCAATCTATAATCTGGGTACACCTTTTGATTGTTGATCAATTTAATGGTATTAATTTGTTTATGGGTTTGTTAGCATATGGATAGTTTGGCAATGTTCGATAGTTTGGTGATTTTAGAATTGAATCACTAAATGTTGTGTAACTTGGTGGATATTTAACCAATATTTTGATGTTTATAGGCGTTGTTAATATGCAAAGAAAGTTTAGATATTTAAGTTTGTACATGTATGTAGGTTTTTAATTTGATGTTTTTGAATTGTGTTTTGGATNATGAATTATGGTGTTTATGTGGACATGAAGAGAGTTAAGATGGATATGATTTTGTCAAGTGACTGAATTGCTTGGATTCGAAGATGAAGTGTTTATCGACTTCTTATATGGTCTTTTAGACGAGCAGGTAAAATTACCCCCATTTCCATTTCTGTTTTTGGTTCTTAGGAGTCATGTATTCGATAGCATGATCTCTATTTAACAACTGATAAAATTGAGTGACATGAAAAATAGTGAACCTATGACTTTTTTGTCTTATAGATTTTATGTCATCCACCATCCAAAAACCTCTACCATCGCCCAACACCACCCCTTCCTCCTATCCCTATTGCCAAAGCTATTGACCTAAACAATCGTTGTTGTTTTTGTCATAGTATGTCTTTCTTTTTTTATTTCCGCTGTTTAGAATTCTTTTTAGTTTTTTTTCTCCTTTCATTTTTGTATTCATTTGATGCAAGTTTTGGTTAAGATGGATATTAATATTCTTGTTTTTGTTCATTTCTTCTTATTTCAGTTTCAATCGAATGGAATATTTTGCAGCTGATAGGATATAAGAAGTGAAATTTGTTGTGGGTAGCTAAGGTTCTATGCTTTGTTGATATGCTGCCAAACATAGCTATTTAAGATTTTATGCTTCTTCAATCTATAATCTGGGTACACCTTTTGATTGTTGATCAATTTAATGGTATTAATTTGTTTATGGGTTTGTTAGCATATGGATAGTTTGGCAATGTTCGATAGTTTGGTGATTTTAGAATTGAATCACTAAATGTTGTGTAACTTGGTGGATACTTAACCAATATTTTGATGTTTATAGGCGTTGTTAATATGCAAAGAAAGTTTAGATATTTAAGTTTGTACATGCATGTAGGTTTTTAATTTGATGTTTTTGAATTGTGTTTTGGATTAGTTATTTGGAGCAATGAAAGATTCATAAGATCGCTTTTATATTCAAAGTTTGATTTGTTTGCTTATTGTTTATTTTTTCAATTGAATGGGTCAATGTACTTGAGAAATTCATAGGAAAGGGGCTGGAAATTGATCTTTTTACAAAGACAACTGAATTATCGGATGCTCACAGCCAAAGCTTGGTGTCCAGCCTAGGTTGATCAATTTAATGGTATTAATTTGTTTGTGGGTTTGTTGGCATTTGGATAGTTTGGCAAAGTTTGATAGTTTGGTGATTTTAGAATTGAATCACTAAATGTTGTGTAACTTGATGGATATTTAACCAATATTTTGATGTGGTTGATAGTTCTAACGACTGGTGGGTTGAATTGTTATTATAATTATCGTAAATTTTACTATTGGTATGATATTTATGATAGATTGTTTCAAATCTAAGTTTTCTTTATATTAATCTGTATGAACATCATTTTGATTGGGATTGGACTTCAATTTCGTTTTTTAATTGTTGAATTAGGGAAATGTTAATTGTTGAATGTTATAGTTGGTATGTATGTAGTTTGCATGTGTTTTGTTTGTTCCATATTTAGTACGATAAATTAATTACACATGATTATGAAGATATGTTTAGTTTGATGTGAATTAATGGTTGTTTTAGTCCTTGGTGTGAATTGTTGATTTTGAGGGAAAATAGAATTGAATTGTAGTGGTATGGTGTATTATGATGATTGTTGTGTATAATTGTTTGTTTTGTAGATAGGTTTAGATTTTTCTGGGCTCCTATTTTTTTGAGGAAATTTTGCCAAAATTTCTTTAAAATAATAGGGATTAGCTTGATTTCAATTTGATATATTAAGACAAGTGAAATCAACATTTTTCAAATTGACAGTTTGTTTTATGTTGTAAAGTGCCTTTAGGCAATGTGGTATTCCTCGAGTTTTATTTCAATTTTTTGTTACGCCGTGNAGGAAATTTTGCCAAAATTTCTTTAAAATAATAGGGATTAGCTTGATTTCAATTTGTTATATTAAAACAAGTGAAATCAACATTTTTCAAATTGACAGTTTGTTTTATGTTGTGAAGTGCCTTTAGGCAATGTGGTATTCCTCGAGTTTTATTTCAATTTTTTGTTACGCCGTGGCTTCAGGTACGGACAATTATTAGTATATATATATATATATATATATACACTATCAAAAAGAATCATTTCTTATGAAACCATCAAATATTCTGGGATTTTAGAAATGTTAAGGTTCAAACGATAAACCTGAGGGATAATGTTGTATAATGATGGATATCAACCAGATTCATGCTTTTCCTTTGGTACGGATTTAAACCAGAATCAACAATAATCACCTTTGCAATGTCTCAATTCTTCTTCCCTAAGAAAAATATAGCACCATAAACCATAGTTTGGAGCTTCTGAGAGGTATGGAATACGTGTTCAAATTTAAACAATTGCGTCCAAAGTTGTGCTATGTTTAAAAGGTATCACACACCTATCTAGAAGTATCTGCAAAATATATATGTCTGTCACTGAAGTATATGTCCGATAGCATGCTAACCTGTGGAGGCACCATTTGTAATTGTAACTACTAGACAAATTTCTCCTAGTTTTCTTCTTGTTCTTTGTCATAACACCAAGTTTGGAAGAAAAGAAACACGCAAATTGTGGGTCATCCCAAATCATGGGTGAAGAACTTCCCATTTCAACATAAAGATTAACCATGTCAATCCAAAAAAACTGACAAATGATAGATCCCATTCACTATCCAAGAATTAAGACCATATAAGGAAAGGGTACCTCGTAATTGTGGGAGCTTAGACAAAATGGAGGCCATAGTACTCCACCTATCTGGAGCAGAGCACAAATATATGCACTGCAAAGCACAATCTACAGCTTCAGCCTCGTGCCTAAAAAATCCATTACTTTGAAATTCCCTGCACCCTTCTTCAATTACTATTAAACATATGTCCAATTTATTCTCCAAAGCAAGCTCTGTCAGCCACCTAACCAGATATGAGCCAACCCTTTTATCAACTGTAGGATAGTTATCAACTAGGTAATCTCCAGCAAGTGATGTGGTATCTTGAAATCTATTTCGCATGAATGTAATTGCTTTATCATGGAGTCTTGCGATAACATTTTCCTTTTGGACTCCCTTAAGCATGATTGTGAACTTTTGATAGTCAGACAACTGTTCCCATGCAATGAGACTCATGGTAAAATTCATTTCATTACCACCGCTATCAGAATAAATAAGCTGGTGTAAGTACGATATATCCTCACGAAACAGCTGCAATTCACAAATACCCTTGCGACAAGCAAAGTCAACCAAACACAAACAATTGTCCAGCTTCCCACTAAAAGTGTCAATATCTCTAGCTCTGTTTTTGTACCATGTACAGAGGTCATTAGCTGATGGCCATGAAAAACCGATGCATCGCTTGACAATGGGTTCAGTTCTGATCTGAATGTTGTTCTCTTGATTCTCATGGAGTCTATCAATAAATGTTACCATATTTTCACATTCAACCCAATCTTCTACCCTAAGGGCAATACTTGACGGAGGAGAATTACCAGGAAGCAGCTGCCCATATGTTTGAACAGGAACTGTTTCAGGAATAGCGGCTATAACTTCCAACATGAAAGGAGTCAGTGAATAAGGATGACGCTTGAAAAGAAGGTTTAAGGCACCAATTTTCCCACTTTCTGCAAGCGCTACAGCAACTTCATTCATTGGCATAATGCGAAACTTGCTATACTCCTGCACAGAAAACCTGCACCAGGCTAAGTCATAAGTTGAGCCAGTACAAGGTAGTCCACATCCAGAAGAAAGGTAGTGCAGACAAACACAAACTAGCTATTCCCCTTTCAGCTTGATATTGTTTTTATGCATTCCTCTTCAATTAATTTTGAAACACCTCAAAGCATATAATTTACTGAAAACATAATATAGATTCCATCCACATCAAGAGCAAAAGGGGAGGAGAGGACACACAACTGCATAACAAAATTACAACCCCAACCAAAAAAAAATCTCCAATATCCATGGAGATTTCTGCAATGTTTGACACATGCGTGTAAGCACACCACTTATCGGAACCTCCGTGTTTAAAGGATAGTGGCCTAATCAAAGAAAAGAGGAAGGACGGACACCCAAAAAAGAAAAATGAAAATCCAACTACAACATTTTAACAGTATTAAACTATCATTAGCGAAAAATCAAGCGATTCTGAGGATCCACAGAAATCTTCAAATGACATGCACAAACATAGGTAGTAAGTGTGTACACTATTCTTCCTCTCTGAGGAAGGAAAAACTTTCAAAAAGCATTATTACCTGCCCATGTTTATACCAAGAAATGTTTCCAGCCTATCTCTGAACTGCAACAATTTGAGTCTTGCTAGACGGAAACCCCAAACCTGGCTACATACATCATTTTCTGCTTCAGAAAACCTGTACTGGCTGGTCAGGCGGAGCCCGTAAGCAAGTAAAGCTCTCACTGCATCTTCTGTTTGGGCAACTCTCTCCACACATTCAGATAGTACAAAAACTTGATCCTTGACCTTGGACAGTAACATATTTATTTCATCTATTCCTTGACAGGAGTGAAGCCATTGCGACTTTAGCACTTCATCTTTATCCAACCCATGATGATTAGCAAAATCCAGGGCAGCCTGATACTTATGATCACTAACTAATATATCATACATTTCAAGAATTGATTTTTCAGAAAATGATATCAGGCTCCAATGCAGTTTAGCAAAGTCAAGCTGGTTATAATTATCTGTCGTAACCTGCTCGAGATGAAAATCACTTGCTGCCTTTTTGTTAGGAGATTCGTAGCTGTGCACTGATGACGTACTCTCCAAGAGAAAAAGGTGTCCAGGGAACTGCTGTACTCTTTCTAAAATGGGCATAGAGTATACAGGCTCATTCTCCAAGAGTTTAACACCACTAAGAATGTCAAGCATGGTGATAGTGCCACTCCTTTTCGCAATAGTAAGGATATTGTCAGACCACCAAGTAAAATCGACTACATCATTCAAGGATTGCCACTCTTTACTAGATGTATCATCTGTCACTTGAGACTTATATCTCTCTCCACAAGGAAAATTTGAAAGAGAGCACTGTTCTTCACCCAGTTTAAAAGTAAACAAGCATCCTCTCAAATCTAAAGTAGCAACAAATTTGCCCAGTGGTGAGATTAGCAACTTCGGAGATGATAAATGACCTATGTAACCTCTTGGCTTGGAGTATAAACCTTCAATCTGAGAAGAAAATACCGGTTCCAGACCCAAGTTCCTATTTCTTCGCCAAAGAGAAAGACTACAAGATCCTGGGAAAATGAAAACAAGGAAGTTGAGAAATTGGTTAAAAAAATTGGTTTCTAGAGNAGATGATAAATGACCTATGTAACCTCTTGGCTTGGAGTATAAACCTTCAATCTGAGTAGAAAATACCGGTTCCAAACCCAAGTTCCTATTTCTTCGCCAAAGAGAAAGACTACAAGATCCTGGGAAAATGAAAACAAGGCAGTTGAGAAATTGGTTAAAAAAATTGGTTTCTAGCGAAACATAGGCTTCATAAAAGAAAATATCAATTTAGTAAAAACATGTTAAAAGCCTCTTCTACAAACTTCCCATACTTTATACAAAACTTCAGGGGAAGAGAGCCCCGGATAGAGATTTTGAGGTCTTGAAGTTAGCATATGACAAAGTGTTTAGCCCCCAATACGGAATTTCCACAGGGTCTACAGTAGTGTTTTTTTTCTGGAAGGTATCTACTGTGATACTGTTAATTTCAGCAAGACTTGAGAATCTAGTCAGCATTTCCAGAAGTAATATACCACTTAAATGAACGAACAGAATCACATTTAGAAGTCATCCGATAAGAGACTATGGCAGAAGAGACCATGATTGGAATTACACGGGATATAGTTGTGGATGGATAAAGGTCTACTCAGGTACAAGAATTCCCAAAAAAAATGTTGTCAATTGGAGAAAAGAAAGAAAGACGGAAAGTGGAACAGTACCAGTCAACGAGATGCTAACAGTACTACTGACTACAGCAAGCAAAGATGTTTTTGACTGGTAATCCAAGCAGAACACAGTTTGAGGGAATTGCGTCCTTAGTGTTGAGCCATTATTTGAGGTGTGTGCTGAGGAAATTGAGGCACTTGGATCTTGACTGATCTCAATATCATGAAGGGAACCGTCTGATGTAAGTACAGTGAATGTCCACCTGTAAAAGATTTTTCACCCACTCAAATAGTGAAAAGGGGGCTAATTAAACAAAAACATAAAACCTACTTCATAGTCAATAACAAAAACCTCTACCCAGCATAATACAGCAGCTGGAGACAGAAATATGAAAACTCACAAGCAAGATTTCTTCACATCAGATTCATCCCGTATAATCAAGCCTATTACTGGAGAAGACAATTTCAAATGCCTTCCTGTAGTTCTGGCTATCTCCTCCCCATTAGCTTTAATAAAATAGAGTGTATCAGCATCATCAGCAACCCCAAGAACATCATGAGCTTCTGACCAAATTCCACAGGTAAATGGGACCAGATTGCTACCTGATTGCACAGAACACATGTTATAACCAACAATAACATTCCACAAGCATTTATGCTCATCTTTCAACAGTTTCCAGTTCTGACACGGTAATACCAAATGGTAGTTGAATTCTCATATGCTTTCTGAAATTCTTGCAACCCAAGTAGACATGAAAGACAAAATGTAAGTGTGAAAATTAGTTATTGCAGTGTTTTGAAAAGCGCGCCTAAGCGAGAAGCAAGGCGAAGCGAATGCATCTCGCCTGGAACACCCCAGGCGAAGCGAGTGTGACTGAAGGGCTGAAGGGTGAAAAAGCGAACGCCTTAGGCATTAGAGGCGAAGTTGTTTTATTTTTATTATGGACCGTTGGATTGGGCAATTGGAAAAAAAATTAAAAGATGTTGACACACCGAATTATTCCCCTATCCCATAAACACAACTCAAAACCCTAATTTTCCTCAGATTTCTTCGCTGGACACTCGTTTCTTCGTTGAACACAGAACAGAGCTGGACACAGAACAGAACAGGATCGATNGAAGGGCTAAAGGGCGAAAAAGCGAACGCCTTAGGCATTAGAGGCGAAGTTGTTTTATTTTTATTATGGACCGTTGGATTGGGCAATTGGAAAAAAAATTAAAAGATGTTGACACACCGAATTATTCCCCTATCCCATAAACACAACTCAAAACCTTAATTTTCCTCAAATTTCTTCGCTGGACACTCGTTTCTTCGTTGAACACAGAACAGAGCTGGACACAGAACAAAACAGGATCGTTCGCTGCTCCTACACGATCGATTGTGTTGCTCCTACAAGATCGATCGATCGATTGTGCTACTCCTACATGATCGACAGAGTCGACACACAAGCTGGACTAGACAGAGACAATCGCTAGCTAATCTCGCTTCCTTCCTTGTTGCACAGGATAGTCTCTTGACTATCTTCTTTTTCTTCTCTCTTTTATTTCTCTTATGGTTCTGGTTCTTCTTCTCTCTTCTAGTTTTTTTTTTTCTGCTTCCGCTTTTTTTTTTCTGATTCTGATTCTGTTCCTGTTTTTTTTTTCTGATTGTGCTTCTAATTCTGCTTAATCTGCTCATTTTTTTTTCCTAATTGTGCTGCTGCCCGGCNTGGACTAGACAGAGACAATCGCTAGCTAATCTCGCTTCCTTCCTTGTTGCACAGGATAGTCTCTTGACTATCTTCTTTTTCTTCTCTCTTTTATTTCTCTTATGGTTCTGGTTCTTCTTCTCTCTTCTAGTTTTTTTTTTTTCCTGCTTCCGCTTTNACAGAGACAATCGCTAGCTAATCTCGCTTCCTTCCTTGTTGCACAGGATAGTCTCTTGACTATCTTCTTTTTCTTCTCTCTTTTATTTCTCTTATGGTTCTGGTTCTTCTTCTCTCTTCTAGTTTTTTTTTTTCTGCTTCCGCTTTTTTTTTTCTGATTCTGATTCTGTTCCTGTTTTTTTTTTCTGATTGTGCTTCTAATTCTGCTTAATCTGCTCATTTTTTTTTTCTTAATTGTGCTGCTGCCCGACTTCTGTTTTCTGTTCTGAATCTAATAGTGTTGTCCATGAGATAGTTTCTTGAATTGTGTGTCACTGTGTCTTATGTTTTTAAATATTAGGATTTGAGATATTATTAGTGTTTGTTTGAATTTAAATGTTTAAGTTATGACTGTTATTAAAATTTGGGATATTATTAGTGTTTGTTTTAATTTAAATATTTATAGNCCTGTTTTTTTTTTCTGATTGTGCTTCTAATTCTGCTTAATCTGCTCATTTTTTTTTTCTTAATTGTGCTGCTGCCCGACTTCTGTTTTCTGTTCTGAATCTAATAGTGTTGTCCATGAGATAGTTTCTTGAATTGTGTGTCACTGTGTCTTATGTTTTTAAATATTAGGATTTGAGATATTATTAGTGTTTGTTTGAATTTAAATGTTTAAGTTATGACTGTTATTAAAATTTGAGATATTATTAGTGTTTGTTTTAATTTAAATATTTATAGTTTTACTTGCATTTAAATATTTAGTATATATAAAATTAGAACTTAGATTGTTTAGAAGTAATTAAACTAAAATATTTTATTTTTTTTTAACTGTTCGCTTCGCTTCGCTTCGCTTCGCTTCGGTAAAATGTGTCACTTCGCTTCTCGCTTAAGCGTCANTTAGATTGTTTAGAAGTAATTAAACTAAAATATTTTATTTTTTTTTAACTGTTCGCTTCGCTTCGGTAAAATGTGTCACTTCGCTTATCGCTTAAGCGTTAGGAGCCTTGGTCGCTTCGGTTCTCTTTACGCCTTAAATAACACTGAGTTATTGGCTATGTAACTTCAAGCCAAATTCGAAGGCAATTCAAAAAAAAATTCCAATAGAAGAAGAGAAACCTCAATCTGGTTCCTGATAACATATAGAGAACATAAATTTTGTTTAGGGATTTTTTACAATTGCAAATACTCCCCTACTTATTTTTAGAATNGAAGGCAATTCAAAAAAAAATTCCAATAGAAGAAGAGAAACCTCAATCTGGTTCCTAATAACATATAGAGAACATAAATTTTGTTTAGGGATTTTTTATAATTGCAAATACTCCCCTACTTATTTTTAGAATTATGTTGACAATGCCATCACTTTAGTTTCAATAGGAAAGCTTTAATTGCATTTGTTAGGTAGAGAATCCTACAAAAACACTGGATGATTCCTATGTTCTGTTACACATTCTATAAGCAGGTAAAAGTAAGCATGCTTGCTTTTAGGCCTAATGGAATCTAGGGTCTCCTATTTCAGGAACAAGTGCCCAACGTGCTAAACATCTGCTGAAAGGATTACGCTGAATATCATAGGTTAAATGAGATCATTAGGTAAAGTTCAGTGTAACAAAGAGTCATTACATTCCCAGGAAAAATAGCTAAAAGAACAAAAAATAAATAAATCAGAGCTTTTATATTTTTAAGAAAAAGCACCAGATAGGGAAAAAAAAAAGTGAGGGAGAGAAATGTTTAGTCAATTTTCAAAGAAAGTTTCATTAGCTGCTACTTAGAACAAAGTACATGCAAAATGATAGCATCAGGGCACAATTTTTCTATGCCATGTTTTGACATTTTATTGTGAGAAGATAACTGAATCTTACTGGTAAAAATGCCACATGGCTCCAGGTAGTCATCATCCTTCTGCAAGATGGTTATTTGATTCCAAGCTGCTATGGCCACACGTTCGCCCCTTGGAGAGACAAACAGAGATATCCATTTTCGTAATTTCCTCGGATGCCAATATTCACTCCATTTTTCTTTTAGTTGGCAAACACCTTCATGGTACACAAAAAAACAAAAATAAATAAGTAATCTTTGGTACCCAAGAAAAGCACAAACCAAATAGAAAATGGACAAAGAAAGACAAACAAACAAAATGCATCATTTTGGAGATATTGATAATTTTTTGCAAAAAATAAAAGAAAGAAAATTGCCTTCTATACCACCAAATTGGATTACAGTAATAAGAAGTAGAGATGGATCATGTCAAGAAGATTTCATAATTTCCCACCTTGCACAGATGAAGCATTGGCCTTCACTAAGCATCATCAACATCAACTTAGTGTATACTTAAGTTTGTATTTAGAAGGTTTAATGCACATCAGTACCACTTCACAGATATTTAGTATATATCACTAAAAAGAAAAATATGAACTATGCCTAAAGTTATAAGATATATTATTGTATTCTATATTCCTATTTAACTAAATTGCACTACAACAAATGCTTGATAAAGTGAAAATGAAACGTACCTCGGGTCGAGAGCAAAGAGAGAAATCTTCCTCTAAGACCTTCATTTAGCTGAATCAAGCATAAACAAAGCGATCAATTAACAAAAAAAACTTGCACAAAAAGGAACCAAAATAATGCTCTTAATTTGAAAGAAACAAATAATTCTAAAGCAATGCAATACAATTATACGGATTCAGAGTGAACCTGTTGAGGCTGAGGAGGGTAATTGGAAGAGTAAGGCCTGGAAGCGTGATGACGTGTCTCATACAGAATTTCTTTTGCACTTTCCCCCATGTAAACCAACAGCTAAATTTCAGGGTCTCTACTGAAATGAGAGATCTCAAACCCTAGAGCTCAGACACCATAAAATCACAAGGAATTTTCGTAAAACATCTGGAGAGAGAAAGTTAGAGAGGGAGATCAGAGAGAAATAAAGAAATAGAGAAAGTAACCAGTTCAGAGTCTCGACATTTAAACCGTTTCGATTGTTCTATGTTGGGCGTTGAGCCGAATGAGGCCGGTCTGGGGAAGGTGAAACAATCACAAGAATTATGAAAATTGCATGGTTAATGTAAATAATATCAAACAAAAATCCCAAAATCATCAAACATATATTCAATGCATTTAATTTCCAATACAAGTTTCCCTAATATGCTCAATTGATCAAATAATCTGCTCTTAATTAATAGCATAATTTCTGAAATTGATAATGTGATCAATGTGGAAAATTATAGCACAGATCAATGTTGAAATAGCAGAGACTACTTAAATAGTGAGTGTAAAAAAATCTATGGCACCATATACACCAAGGCGTGGCAACTTGGCACACAACATTCGTAAAGTGTGAGTACAAACCGCATGAAAACCCAGTACAGAGTAAGTAGTTCATCTTAGATTCTAAGAAAATAAAACCCCAACAATCAAAAACAGTAACCCCAAGCTCCAGAAAACAACGGTTAAAACCCAGATTCCCTCTAATTAAAGCCGAGAGTGAGAAAGGATGTACCTGCTCTGTGCTGTGTCTCACTTGAGGGAAGGAAATGCGCAGGAATCGTCGATGGAGCTCTGGCCTCGANTAAACAAAGCGATCAATTAACAAAAAAAACTTGCACAAAAAGGAACCAAAATAATGCTCTTAATTTGAAAGAAACAAATAATTCTAAAGCAATGCAATACAATTATACGGATTCAGAGTGAACCTGTTGAGGCTGAGGAGGGTAATTGGAAGAGTAAGGCCTGGAAGCGTGATGACGTGTCTCATACAGAATTTCTTTTGCACTTTCCCCCATGTAAACCAACAGCTAAATTTCAGGGTCTCTACTGAAATGAGAGATCTCAAACCCTAGAGCTCAGACACCATAAAATCACAAGGAATTTTCGTAAAACATCTGGAGAGAGAAAGTTAGAGAGGGAGATCAGAGAGAAATAAAGAAATAGAGAAAGTAACCAGTTCAGAGTCTCGACATTTAAACCGTTTCGATTGTTCTATGTTGGGCGTTGAGCCGAATGAGGCCGGTCTGGGAAAGGTGAAACAATCACAAGAATTATGAAAATTGCATGGTTAATGTAAATAATATCAAACAAAAATCCCAAAATCATCAAACATATATTCAATGCATTTAATTTCCAATACAAGTTTCCCTAATATGCTCAATTGATCAAATAATCTGCTCTTAATTAATAGCATAATTTCTGAAATTGATAATGTGATCAATGTGGAAAATTATAGCACAGATCAATGTTGAAATAGCAGAGACTACTTAAATAGTGAGTGTAAAAAAATCTATGGCACCATATACACCAAGGCGTGGCAACTTGGCACACAACATTCGTAAAGTGTGAGTACAAACCGCATGAAAACCCAGTACAGAGTAAGTAGTTCATCTTAGATTCTAAGAAAATAAAACCCCAACAATCAAAAACAGTAACCCCAAGCTCCAGAAAACAACGGTTAAAACCCAGATTCCCTCTAATTAAAGCCGAGAGTGAGAAAGGATGTACCTGCTCTGTGCTGTGTCTCACTTGAGGGAAGGAAATGCGCAGGAATCGTCGATGGAGCTCTGGCCTCGACTTCGACGCAGCGTAGAGAGAGATGACTGAGGAGCGAGGAGGTCGTCGGACCTCAGACGTTCGCGGGAGGCACAGACCAGAAATCGACTTGGGGCAAAAAATGCCCAAAAGGGCCAAAACACTGGCGTTTGTACCACTTTAATTGATCCGGCCGATTTGTTCAAAAATGTCCGGGTTGAACGGTTTACGAACAAAACAGACGGTTAATCGGATTTCTTCCGGTTTTTGTGCTCAAACAATCTTTTATAGAACCGGACCGGCTTAGGTTCGCCGGGTTATAGGGTCAACATGACTGGGCTGGGTTTTAAAATACTGGTTTAGAGTCTGTTGGCTCACCCAGACTGGGCCCAACAACTGGTCCATCGTATTGTAAATTTACAATTATCTCCCCTGATATATGTGTTTATTCTTTCGCCACCCTAAGATAGTAAAATATTAACACAGATCCCTTGATATTTTAATCACATGGAACTTGGAGCTGCTCAGTCATGGCTCAACGATTCGGTCGAGCAAAAGGCTCCAACCAAATGGGTGCAGCACACACATAACTCGTATGATAACAATAACAACAATAAAAGTCGTAAAAAGTCTGTTAATTGATAGTTATCTCATATGTGAATAAACCTCTTAGTCTGCTATAATCTGGTGTATGCTAGAAACTTTTTATCCTATATATTGAGTGAAGACTTCAAATCCATTCTGATTTGTAACTTCCCATTGAATTGAGTCAATTAATAAACAGAGCCAGAATATTAATAAAAGAAAACAGAGAGAGGGACAGGANAGAAAGGATGTACCTGCTCTGTGCTGTGTCTCACTTGAGGGAAGGAAATGCGCAGGAATCGTCGATGGAGCTCTGGCCTCGACTTCGACGCAGCGTAGAGAGAGATGACTGAGGAGCGAGGAGGTCGTCGGACCTCGGACGTTCGCGGGAGGCACAGACCAGAAATCGACTTGGGGCAAAAAATGCCCAAAAGGGCCAAAACACTGGTTTTTGTACCACTTTAATTGATCTGGCCGATTTGCTCAAAAATGTCCGGGTTGAACGGTTTACGAACAAAACAGACGGTTAATCGGATTTCTTCCGGTTTTTGTGCTCAAACAATCTTTTATAGAACCGGACCGGCTTAGGTTCGCCGGGTTATAGGGTCAACATGACTGGGCTGGGTTTTAAAATACTGGTTTAGAGTCTGTTGGCTCACCCAGACTGGGCCCAACTACTGGTTCATCGTATTGTAAATTTACAATTATCTCCCCTGATATATGTGTTTATTCTTTCGCCACCCTAAGATAGTAAAATATTAACACAGATCCCTTGATATTTTAATCACATGGAACTTGGAGCTGCTCAGTCATGGCTCAACGATTCGGTCGAGCAAAAGGCTCCAACCAAAATGGGTGCAGCACACACATAACTCGTATGATAACAATAATAACAATAAAAGTTGTAAAAAGTCTGTTAATTGATAGTTATCTCGTATGTGAATAAATCTCTTAGTCTGCTATATATTGAGTGAAGACTTCAAATCCATTCTGATTTGTAGCTTCCCATTGAATTGAGTCAATTAATAAACAGAGCCAGAATATTAATAAAAGAAAACAGAGAGAGGGACAGAAGCATTTGAACTTATATATAGCAGGAAAGCAGATTCCCTTATCTCTTAGCCTAGCCGCCTTAGATTTGCCCTACATTTCCAATAAAATAGACTAGGGGCATGGAGATAGAGCATATGAAAATCACCCAATGGCCTGTGACTCAAAAAGAGAGAGTTTCTCGTGTCTAATCACATGAAGACCATGGAATGGAATAACTAAACAAAACTGGTAATTATAAACTTACAATCAACTTTGTCCACTGCTTTTTTTTGTCTTTCATGTTAATGCTTTCCAGAGTTTTAGCTGTATTTATATGCAAAATGAGAGGTCCACTAGTTTTTTTTCCTGAAACCTAACTTTGGGTCAATATTCAAGAGTAAGTTAAAGGATTCCCATTTCCTCTCCATCTTTTCTGAAACCTAACTGACCTTACCAATAACATGATGTCAAACTAAAATTGCAAATGCCCTCTGTCGGCTTCTTTTGTTCATAGGTTGAATACGTCTTTGTAATTTGAACCATATCTTTTTCAAGCTCTGGTGGAGTCGATGGTTGATGTCTTGGTTAGTTGGTTATTTATAAGTCACTATATAACAGTGTCACGTGGTATTTGTACTTATTGAAAAATTATTATAACACTTATTGGTCGGACCCACTCATTAATTTTTTCAAAGAGGAAAATTGACAACTTTATAAGTGACAATAATTTGTTAAGAATGTATAATATTTTATAGGTGATGTACATCACATGTCGTTTGGTGCATGTTGAGTTTGGTGCATGTTGAGCACCCAATATTTTCTTTTCTTGGCCAAAAGATCCTCCACTATGGAGGTTCTAAGATCATAGGTAAGTTGTATAATATTAAAATTTGTTTACTTTTACTGTTTAAATTATATTTAGCCTAATGTGTATCTTGAAATTCATTTGACGGCCTTCCCTTTTACTACTTAACGTCATATCATGTCTAGAATTGAGATTCCTATTCATATTCTGAATAATTATAATGCAGTATCTGTTCTTTAGTCCTTGTTTGTAGGATCATCAATCACAGTTCCAGGGTTCCACATAGCCCTTAAATCTTTCTAATTCCTATATAAAGGGAGGAGGCAACACCGTTCTAAGCATTGAGACTTCTGTGTTGAAGAAAAGCTCAAAGAAGCCATTTCTGGAGAAGTAGACGTGGCGTGGTATTGGCCCGGCTCAGCTTCTTCTGTCGTATAACACAGTTTGGAAGACGAGCCGGACCAATATCACTCTTGCATGCTTCTTCTTTGCATCAGCTTGCCTTTTGCCTGAAAGCAAGCCATTATCTTCATGTTATGAGCAACCCCAACTTTTCTGTTTTTGCATTTTCGTTTTCATTTTACAGGATTCAAATACTGCCAAAAGGGTAGATCCAGCATAGTTATTTGACTGGTTTCTAGCTATAACAAGTGTTTATGCCCGTAGATATGATATACTACTCCATTTTCTCTTCGAAGTTCAAACTAATTATGATGACGTTAATTTCGAGAGGTACAGGAAAAAGGGGAGGCTTAAGAGCTCTCCGATGGCTGTGTGTGTGTGGTATATGATTGCTTGGACTGAGAGCCGAGGACCGCTATTGAGGACTGAAGTACGTCATATATATATATATATATATGTGTGTGTGTGTGTGTGTAAAGTGACTATTGTCGTCGATAATAAAGTTAATTTACTATTTCTTGACTAATTCATTTTAATGGAGTCCTAGTTTATTATTGGTTTGGTCTATTTGAACCTAGTTTATTGAGTAATTTTTTTTATCAATTTTTGAGTAAAAACAGATTTTATAAATACCAAAAAAAAAAGACTTGTCTAAGGACTTTCAAGGAAAAGCCATTTTTTTTAAGAACACTCCAAATAATTTTAAAAACTTTTTTAATTCTAATTTTTTTACTTTACTTTTCAAATTTCTGTTTTGCAGCCCAAAAAATCTTGTTTCAAACAGACTTTAAGTTAAAAGGGGGGATATTGGAGGTGATAATTCATGTCCAAATTGGCTTGGTTCTGTCAACTGGTCATGCAGAAGTGCCCTGCCTTGTGTATCAGATATACGATATGGCCCGCACCTAGCCCGTTAACAATCCATTCGGATTGATCCAATGGGTAATCCGTTCAATACGGGCCATGGATAGTCGTTTCTGTCGATGTAGGCCAGAGCAAGACAACCCAGCCCAAGTAAACACCGTTAATTTGGCGCCATATTTTCTACGCGTACTTTTATCTGTTAACGTCAATGTCATCGTTTCAAAGTCAGTTGATTCCATCTTTTAGTCTCAGCCCTACACCGTAAAAGCATTAATAAACAAATCAGACCAATCGTTTCTCGCGACGTAATCTCACGACTAGGGGGTCTGCGTGTGTGGTGGATACGAATCTGGTCATTCTGGATTGCTACCTTTGACTGGGTCCCACTTACAGCGCGTCTTCAAAACAAAATCGAACACAGCTGAAGGAAGACGAATTCAACAACTTGGTCGTGTAAAGCACGAGGCTAAAGAAAGAAATTATGTTAAGAATTTTCTCGTCTCTTTTTCCCCAATTCGTCTTTGACACAATCGAGNTTGATGAAACAAAACGTAGCCACTTCACTTAAGCAGTTTTCAGAGAGTTCCATTGGTTTGAGCAGACCAATAAAGAAGCATGGGATTTTGGTGTGTTGCTTGGCCTCTTCCGAAACTGGCTGCCCTGTGCACTTGGGCATTTGTACTCTTGAATCCTCATTTTGCCTTGTGGAGGCTAATGCTGTCCTACCCCTTGTGAGGGTACTTAGAGAGCCAGACACCGGAGCCTGCGAAGCTTCTTTAGATGCACTCTTGACATTGATTGACGGAAAGCAACTGCAGAGCGGTAGTAAGGTGCTTGCTGAAGCCAATGCCATTGGTCCAATTATTAAATTGTTGAGCTCATCTTTTGCCACATTGCAGGAGAAAGCACTGAATGCCTTAGAAAGGATATTTAGGCTGGTTGAATTCAAACAGAATTATGGGAAATCAGCCCAGATGCCATTAGTTGACATCACTCAGAGAGGACCTAGTGGTATGAAATCCGTGGCTGCCAAAGTATTGGCTCATTTGGACGTACTTCAGGAACAGTCGTCTTATTTTTGATGGGTCCTGATGAAATGAAGATTTTAATACCATTTCCACAAAGCAAGAGCACAGTCTTCTTCTGTTAAAGTAAATTGCAGTTGTATTTTGCTCTATTAATTTCTTGTATATAATTTTAAGGGCTTGATTATTGTCACCCCAAATCCACGGATTTGAGGTGCTACTGTGATATCAGAATTTGTTTGTCAATACATAAACAGAATAAAATTTATCCATGAAGCCCTACTGTACAACAAGCTGCAGTTTAATTTCTTTCTGTTGTCTATCCTCACGTGTTGTTACGAGGATTCTGTGAATGCAAGTTGAAATCAGAGGTGTGATCTTACTGGTCTCCGTTTATTTGATACCACGGTTTTGTTGGGTTGTGATGTCACTTTGGCTCAAAACTTTTGAACAATGCAACTTTGGCTTCTCCATAAGCAGGTAAGTATGTGAACAATTCATTCATTTTACTAACTTGAATCCAAGTTTGCAATTGAGAATGATTCTTGGTCTGCATAAAATACTATACCCGATGAGCAGAAGTCATATATGANATTATTGTCACCCCAAATCCACGGATTTGAGGTGCTACTGTGATATCAGAATTTGTTTGTCAATACATAAACAGAATAAAATTTATCCATGAAGCCCTACTGTACAACAAGCTGCAGTTTAATTTCTTTCTGTTATCTATCCTCACGTGTTGTTACGAGGATTCTGTGAATGCAAGTTGAAATCAGAGTTGTGATCTTACTGGTCTCCGTTTATTTGATACCACAGTTTTGTTGGGTTGTGATGTCACTTTGGCTCAAAACTTTTGAACAATGCAACTTTGGCTTCTCCATAAGGCGGTAAGTATGTGAACAATTCATTCATTTTACTAACTTGAATCCAAGTTTGCAATTGAGAATGATTCTTGGTCTACATAAAATACTATACCCGATGAGCAGAAGTCATATATAAAGGGCGGAGCCAAGTTTATTTCATGTTGGAGGATAGTTTAGTTTATTAGGGTTTTTTTTTTCTTTTTTACCCTTATTATGATTTTATATTTTGCCTAGACCACAAGGATGTTTTGGTCACTTTGTATTATTATTTGACTATATATATGGAGCTCTACTCTTAGTTTGAGTATCCCTTTTCACTCACAGCCAAACTCAAACCCTAACCCTAACCTCCACCATACTCAGCGGCCACCATACTCACCAAACCGACTGAACAGTATCCATACCACCCAGTCGAACAATACCCACCTGCATACCACCCAGTCGAAATCACCAAGCACTCCACCAAACCAGCGAACAATACACCCATCCTCCACAGACAGCCATCCTTCACCGACCATCCTTCACTGACCGATATACTCAAACCAACCCAATACTTTGCACCATCAAACCAAACAATCAAACCAACAGCCTACACTGACAAACTGCCAACACCACACAAACCACTGCCCATCAACGACAAACTGCCAACACCAAAACAGCACAGCCACAGTCCAGCGTCAGCAGCACAGTAAACCTAATATCATCAGCAACCAAAACCAGCCACCTGCCCATCAACTAAACCAACTCATTAAAAATATACCAGCGACAGACCCAGCCCATTAAACATATATCAAACCAGCCCACATCCCAGCGAACCCAAAAATAGCAACCAGCGACCCAGCCCAATAACCCAGCCACCTAGCCTACTGCTGGGTCACTCATCAGCCCACTGTTGGGTCGCATTTTTTTTTCGTTGTAACTTCGTCGTTCGCACTCTTCGTCACAGTGCTGCTAGATTGCAATATCTAGGACCGTTTTAAGAGGGCTTGAATCCTCTTCTACGTTGATCTGCTCTTGATGCAGTAGATCATTTATTTATATTCATTGGATTTCTGAGCATCGTGACCTGATTATTTGGGAGCTTTCTGGACCTTCTTTATCTGTCGTTATTGTTCGATTGGAGGTATATTGTTCTATATTTTTTTTTATCCCTCTATTTATCTTAGAGTTATTTTTTTTGTCACGTGGCCCATACTATTATTGTTGGTATGACTATTATTGAGGAATTTGAGACCCCTATTGTTGACACCTCTACCGTTAAGACATCCACTGTTAGTACTTCCACTTGGAATGTACTGTCTGGTCGCCTAGACCAGCGCCGACGGGACATCCCAGATCAGTGCAGACGGGCAATTTTTCGTCAATGTGATTATTGTGGCCGATCAGGACATCTCAGGACTACTTGTTGGAAGCTCCATCCGGAGCTTAAGCCGCCTTCTCGCAGCCACACTGTTGCCATTGGTAAGACACCATCACCTATAGTCATTGCTCCTGCTACTACTACTACTGCTTCTCATTGGCAAAGTGATATGGATGTTATCACTTCTCAGTTGGATAGACTTATGTCAGTCTTGACTTCTCGAGGTCCGACTACTATTGCTGTGACTACTACTGGTATATCTCGTGCTTTTCATACTTGCGCCAGTTCGTCTCCCCTTTGGATGTTTGACTCGGGTGCTAATGGTTATATGACGGGTGAGACTCATCACTTCACCACTTTTGACGAGCAATTACATACACAGGTTCAGCTAACAGATGAGACACATGCCCCTATTATGACTAGGGGTACAGTCCGCCTTCCAGATGGCTTTACATTACATTCAATTTTTTATGCGCCAAAATTGGCCATGAATCTATTATCCGTACATCAGTTAGCCAGAGATTTTCACTGTGCGGTTATATTTTTATCTGATTCGTGTTATTTGCAGGACCTGAGTACCAAGAGGATTATTATCAAGAGACATGAGAGAAATGAATTATATTATCTAGGCGATCCACTTCCAGTTTCACCAGTTCTTCCTCCTCCATTATCTGCACATGTTTTGTCTTTATCTATTTCTAACTTAAATGATAGTATTTTACCTAGTACTTATCGTTATGATTTTTCATCACAAACTGTTCAGTTTGTGGCATGACCATTTTGGGCATATAAATTTTAAATATTTATGTATGTTATTTTTTGCTTTGAGCAATGCTTGTGTTGGTAATAAACTTGACTGTGTTTTATGTTCCCTATCGAAATATGTTCAGACCAGTTATATTCTTCGCATGCACCAATCACCCAAGCCATTTGACCTAATACACTCTGATATTTGGGGACCCTCTTTTGTTACTGCTTTGTCAGGTTCTTGTTACTATGTGACATTTGTAGATGACCATACTCGTTGTACTTGTGTCTACGTTTTGCATAGGAAGTCTGATGTACTCCCTATCATCACTCAGTTTCTTCAGATGATTAAGACACAATTCGATGTCATTGTTCGTGCTCTTCGTTCGAATAATGTCAAAGAATATGTGTCTGATGCCTTAGTGTCTCACCATTCTTCTTAGGATATCTTTCAGCAACTCACTTGTCCATATACTCCTGAGCAAAATAGAGTTGCTGAAAGGAAAAATAGGAGTCTAATAGGGATGGTACGTTGTATGCTTAGAGGTATGGGGGTACCAAAATCTTATTGACATTTTGTTATTTTGACTTCTACCTTTCTGTGTAATCGTACACCGAGTCGTGTTCTTCAGCTAGAGCTCCCTTACAAGTCTTATTCTCTGAGCGAAAACTTTTTTTGGTCCCCTTTGTGTTTTTGGCTACATATGTTTTGTTCAGGATCGGTCTTCTACTCGTCATAAGCTTGATGATAAAACGATTCGTTGTGTCTTTGTGGGCTATTGTCATCAGTCTAAGGGGTATCAGTGTTATGATCCTATTAGGCGTCGTATGTATCATAGTTTAGATGTTATCTTTCTTGAGCACATTCCTTATTGTTCTTCTATTCCTGTGTCTACCCCTCCAGTTGATGATATTCCCTTTTATTTTTCGTTACTACAGGAACTAGAGTCATTAGTCACTATCACTACAGAGTCATCAGTCTCTCCTCCACCAGAGCCACTCGTCCTTGTCAGTACAGAGTCACCAGTCTCTCTTCTTTTACAGGTTTATGTTTGTCGCCCTCGCTCTTATCCCCTGCTGATGTCCCCTTTACCTTAGGTGATGCAGGTACTATTTCTCAATTTGTTGAGCATATTGATGCATCTGCTGTTAGTACTGATGAGATTGCAGGTATTGAGCTAGTTATTTTTTTTGATAAGACATTGTTAGTGGAGGATGATGATTTAGGGCGTCGTTATCCGCAGCATGATCGCCGTCCAGTTGTCCGTTATGGTTGGACGGTCAGGACTTTATATCTGATCTCTGTTTTATGTTTCTTATGGTGATCTCTGTCGGTTCCTCGCTCTGTTTCAGAGGCTATGCGGGAGCCCCTATGGTTCCTGTGGGTTCTTCAGCGTAATCATACGTGGGATCTTGTCTCTTTACCTTCAGGGGTGAAGCCTATTGGCTGTCGTTGGGTTTACACCTTGAAGTTTCTTGCGGATGGAACTATTGATCGTCACAAGGCTAGGCTTGTGGCGAAGGGTTTTACTTAGGTACCAGGTCATGATTTTGGTGCTACCTTTGCCCCCGTGACAAAATTAACTATTGTTTGATTGATTATTTCTCTGGCTGCGGAATACTCTTGGCCTCTTCATTAGTTGGATGTGAAAAATACATTTCTTCACGGTGATCTGGATGAGATTATTTATATGGATGCATCACCAGACTTTCGTGGTGAAGGGGAGTATGCTGGAAAAGTATGTCGACTGCGTAAGTCTCTCTATGGACTGAAACAGTCACCACGAGCCTGGTTCTCTCGCTTTAGTGATGTAGTTGTACGTTTAGGGTTCACCAGATATCATTCTGATCATACCTGCTTCATTCGACGGAATATTTCTGGACAGTGTGTTATCCTTTTGGTATATGTTGATGATATTATTATTACTAGAGATGATATTTCTGGGACTATGCAGGTTAAGGTAGACTTTGGGAAGGCCTTCGATGTGAAGGATTTTGGATTTCTGCAATATTTTCTTGGGATTGAGGTTACCCATAGCAGCAGGGGTATTGTTTTGTCTTAGAGAAAGTATGTTTTGGATCTTCTCTCAAACACTGGGATGTTGGGGTGCAAACCGGCATCATCACCCATGATTTCAAATCTAAAGCTTACTGTTGAAGGTGAGGAGTTGCGAGATCCGACTGTTTATCAGAGGTTGGTAGGTAGACTTATCTACCTAGCCAACACTAGGCTAGACATTTCATTCGCTGTCAGCCGAGTTAGTCAGTTCATGCACAGGCCGTGTCAGCCTCATCTTGATGCAGTTTATCATATTCTTTGGTACCTCAAGTCTTGTCTTGGACTTGAGTTGTTCTATGCATCAGAATCTCAAATTGGTTATCTAGCCTGTTATTCA